AAGTTTCAAGTGAGAATGACTGTGACGAACAAGCGAAGGAAACAAGATGCACTTGCGGTAAAAAAAAAGAAAAATAAGTCAGTTTCAGATATTTTCTGTGTTTCTGGTAAATGCCCGTGCCACAAAGTGAACCACTCTTGTACCCGCTCGTGTAGATGTTACAATTGCAAAAATACGTGCAATTCAATGAAGTTGTGAAGGTAAAAAAAGAGTCTGAAGAGAGGCTGTAGGTGCGGAGTTGGACAAAAGAGCAAAGGGGACGGAGAACCAAATGCAAGTCACAAGTCGTGTCAAGACAGTCTCCGCAAGTCGAAGTGTCCGTGTGTAGCGGGTGGCATAGGATGCACCGAAGTCTGCAGATGCTTTCATTGTGGAAACATTGTTCAAGCTCGAGCTGACCCGGGAAAATCCCCAAGACGAAAGAAGCGAAGTAGGGCGATCGTCTCTCCATATAAGAGGAAAAAGGGATCAAAGTTCATGATAAGTCAAAATGCAGAGGTGGATTGTGGACCATGGAGAAACATTGAAACGCTTTAATTAAAAAAATTTGCGTGATTTGTATGATTTCGTGGCTAAGTCTCCTGCTGTTATGGACATGTCTTTAAACATAGCTGCGAAGTCTACAGCACAGATTGCGGCTAAAATAGCGCACCTAGGAGGCATTGATTTGTAAAATACACATAAGATAGGGCTATCCTGTCCAGTGAAATTTTTGAAGGCTTCACTTCTGCTACCTTTTAATTCCGCTCTTAATGATAAAAGAATGTTCTTCGAAAAGTTCAAAAAGTTACCCGTTAGATCTCATGTCCAATCAGACTTTTGAGCTTTCTCTTTAATGGATGAAAAACGCGAGAAAAGATGACTAGTGATTCATGATTTCTAATTCACACTGTATTAGGCCACAGAGAAATTACTAAGTAAATACAGCTTTGTGTCAAAACTGAGTGATTCCCTAGATTTTGTACGACTATTTTTGTTCTTTTGTATCTTGTTATTATAACAAAAGATTTACGGTGTGCATTTCATGTTTATGTTGGAAAAGGTGTAACTAATCGTACGCGAACTCGTTCATATTGGATTGCTGCAGAATAAGTACAACTTGTTACATGTTTAACTGATCACAATAGTTTTTTTAATTACTCGTATACTAATGATAGTTCTGCGTTCCCTCATTGACGGCATTCTCTCTTTCACTCTTTGTAAAAGTGTGTTATCAAAGAAATAAACACGTGATAAAGGCAATTTGTGAACTGAATTCGAAAGAACAGGTACGTAGTTTCACAAACTTTATTTCTCACGGCCGTAGTAGACTAAGCAACTCCTTTAATTTAAAAACACAAATCTGTGAAACGAGCCCCTTTCAGGCCTCCTACTTAAATGGCATTGTGAAACTTTGGAATTACTCTTGTTCTATTGCTCCTTCTTCTAGTTTTTCGAGTCTGCTCTCCTTCCAGCTTTTCGTCAAACAAACACTTTTTGACTGCCTGAGAACGTCCTTTGACATTGACTAGCCCTGCACGTAGACACTAGTTAGAACTTGCTCGTGCTACAAGCTAGAGGTGTAGTTAGTACTATGTTATAAACCAAATAAAGTTGTTAAAAAAGTTGTTAATTCAAATGGCAGGAATTGAAACAAATGCATACATCAAGGTGAATATGATTAAATAAGCACTTTTAAAAGAATATGAAGTCTTTCAGTTCTCTGTCGTAGGTAAGAGGGAGTAAGTCCAGGGTAATAAGTCTGTCTCTGCAAGACATCTCGCCAATCCGGGTTTGTAAGATCCATTTGGTAGCGCGCCGCTGCACTCGCTCGACTTGTGCCTTCAGGGAAACCTGAGCGGGCGACCAGACTTGAGTAGCGCAGCAGAGTTGTGACTTGACTAGCGATAAGTATGGCGCGCGCCGGGTAGACGCGTCAGTTAGTAATGGACATGTCCGCTTTAGGAGCCCAAGGAGCCTGTTGTCTCTGGCGGTGATGGTGTATATATGAGAGTACCAAGACAACGTACCCGTAATTGTAACTCCTAGATCGTTTTCCGCGGACACCCGCACAAGTTGTGTCTTGTTTAGGATGTATTCGTAAATCAAGGGAGTTTTCATCCGCGTCACAGTGAGCGTTGTGCATTTCTAGGTGTTGAAGTTGATGTTATTTCCCTATGACCAGTCATTCACGTTTGCTCGGAGTGGTCTGTAGAGACAGATAATCGCTGACGGAGCTGACGTTTTTATGCAGCTTGGTGTCATCAGTGTATAACGCTGCCCTCATCCCGGCTACAGTTTCACCCGGGAGATCGTTAATAAAGATCGTCCAAAACTACCCTTTGAGCTCGACCCTTTCGCAAAATCCAAGTAACATTAGTCTGAATGTTCTTATCCTTCTAAGTAGTGGATAACATTTTTCATTTAGCTCTGCAGGTTTTCCACGATCGCTTGAGCACTTAAATGGTATCTACGGCCTATTTCGGAGTAAGAATTTAAAAGCAAATTAAGAAAATCCATT